CCAAACGCCCCTCCGTTCCTCACTTGCTCTTGGTCTCATCCTCATCACCCTCAGTACAGTAGTTTTGTTTCCCACGGTATCAGTTACCCAAAGTCAACTGAGGTCTGAAAATATCAAATAGGAAATTCCAGAAATAAACAATTCATAAGTTTTAAGTTGTGCGCTATTCTGAGTAGTGTGGTGAAATATTGCCCCGTCCTGCTCCACCCCACTTGGGACAGGAGCCATCCCTCTGTCCAGTGAACCCACACTGTGTTCACAATACACCCATCCGTCACTTAGCTGCCTTGGTTATCAGATTGATTATGAGAAAGAGAGAAATCGCTTTCACATAACTTTTATTACAGTATATTGTTACCGCTGTTAACCTCTTACTGTGCCTCATTACAAATTAAACTTCATCATATGTAAATATGTACAGGGTTTGGCACTATCTGCACTTCTGGGCATCCACTGGGGGGGGGGTCTGGGAATGTGTCTACTGTAGGTCAGGGGGATGACTGTACTGACACACACCTCATGCCTGTGTAAGACCTCGGATGGATGACTATGATTGATAACCTGTGATGTCCCACACAGAGGCCTTCCTTCGTGTGGTCCCTATTATCTAGCACAGCAGGTTTAAACCTGAAGCATTTGGTAACTTTATGAAATAAATGACTGAAGGAATAAATGAATGTCACATGAAGCCTGAACCTCTTCAACCCCAATAATGAGGATCTGGGGTGCACTACTACAGTGGCCTAATATGAAACAAGCCAGCTCCAATTTAGCCCCAGATCCTCATGATTGGGCTTCAGAGCATTACAACTCTGAAGGCTCCTAGGAGGGAATAAAAGAAGAAAGACCAGAGCGGGAAGGTGAGGAAGCAACAGGGAGAGGCAGCTAAATAGGAAGAGGGGGAAATGAAAAAGATCCATTACTTGCTAAAGCAACATTTACAGAGCACTTCGAGCACTTCCTCATGCCAGACATACTAACTCATTTAACCCTTTCAATGCTTTTGCTGTTCCCATTTCCAGAGGGGAGCGCTTACAACCAGAGAGGTTCAGCAACTTGCCTAGAATCACACTGCTAGTAACCGACAGGGTCAAGTTCTGAGCTTGGAGAATCTGACTGCAAAACCCAAGACCCCAAACTGCCCTTGTCAAAGCACATCCCACAGGATACACTGTCCTCTAGGCGTACCTGATAGGTGTGGAGTGAAAAAATAAAAATACGTGGTCAAAGGCAAATTTGGAAAATGGTAAGTTAAATGGGCTTCTTTACTAAAAGACTTCTTAGAGCATTTGAATTGCTAATGAGCATTGCGAATCTCCAATAGATGAACAGAGTACATATATGAACCAGACTTATTTGGTTAGGGGCTTTTCTCTTGGGGAAGCATCTTGCTGGACCAGATGCCACTTTCAGAAGCATAAACCTCATATCTCTTCAAGACCCACTGTGTGCTCCCAGGTTTTCCAGGGGTCAGCTGAGGAAAGGTGTAGAGACCACACAGAATTTGAATCACTCCAGAGCTCTACAGCCTCAGCCAGCTTCCTGCAGAGGTCTAGCTGAGGGCCTCCACTTCTCCTGCCTATTCAAGACAGGAAGCCACTGGCATTTATCCACTGCCCTCTCAAACTGCGCAGCCTACCCAGCTCTCTCTGCAGGGTGTCTGTCTGTGTGCATTTCACAAAGGAAATTTCTCATCTGAGTTGATTGTTCCCTTCAATTCTGAACTCCTGCCTGTCCCTTCTGAAATTTGGCATTAAATCATCATAATCAAAAAGGGTATCCTACTCTACCCAAATCTCAGAAAGAATTCTTCTTAGAAAAGCCTAAAGTTGATGGCCTGAAGTTGATGGCTATTACATGCCACTGACAAAAGTATTAAGGATTCCCTTAAAGATAACAAGTTAAAGACATTTTCAGTCTCCTTGAAGGAGACTGGCAGGTAAGGCATTTTTCTGTTAAGTGCCTTGGAGCCTATTACATGATAAGTGCTTGTTCTATGAAGCACTGTTGTTCCAAGTTCAGTAAATATCCTTAAGCCAAGAGAGCAATTACAGGTAAACAACTATTTTTTTTTAATACAATGAGTACCCTAACTATTCACACCAACACCTAAGATGATCAGAAGCTGCAGGAGCAACCTGAAAGCCGAATGGGAAGTCTGAACACCTGTGACAGCCAAATTCCCAGGCAATGAATGATGCCATGGAGAAGTTACCCAAGAGGCCATAGGAAGAAGACAATTTAGCATGTATGTCTTGGGTTCCTAATCACAGCTGTTGAGTCACCAAACTAAGTCCTCTAAGATAATGCCCTCATCATGTCATTCCTCTGCTCAAAAACTTTCTACGGTTCCCCATTGTCAATAAAACAAAATTTGAACTTCATAGATTGGTATGGTATGTCCTGCACAACCTGCCTCAAATCCACCTTTCCGGCTACATTTCACCAGAATTCCCCACATGCAGCTTTCCTTCCCCTTTTCCTGCCTTTCATTTCAAGCCGTCTCCATACCTACCTCCATCATGACGCCCTTCCACCTCCATTCCAGCCCATATTTGTCACCTGAAACTCTGAAGTGCTTTCAACATGTTCGGTTTCTACAAACTAGGAAGTTTTCCCCAACCACAAAACCACCTTAACCACGTTTGATTCTTTTTCAGCGTAGGAGGGGAAATGACCTCTGTGGCTGATGACTTCCACCAGAGTTCAGCAATGCTCCTATTTTCTGGGAGATGAAATGCTCTACATCTTCCATGCCTGTGGTTTATATTTCAGCAAGTGGTGTCAGTGCTGATATAGTAACCTCCCATTTTTATTGAGCAGCACACAATGTAATTGATGACATCTGCTGGGGCTGATATTTTAAGTGAAGGCTATTCCCAGCTCTGCCTCCTCTCCCCATGGCTCTGTATATAAATAGCCAACAGCAGCTACACCTGAGGTAGAAAGTGGGCCTTCTCGGCGAAGGTCCTCAATTATACCCCGTAAAGTCAGGAGGTTTTCTGGGAAGATTTATATAAGCAGATCCAGCTTCCAAGCCTGCAAAGCTAGAAAAAGAGGGAGCAGGGGACAGGGCTCTGCTGGAAATAGTTGCCATCATTCTTTGGACTTTTCGGTTAAGTGGATGTAAATACCATGTTCTTTTCAGTGCTCAAATTTTCTGTGTTAACCCCTCAAATCAAGAGAAACTATCATTTATCCCTAAAGGGCAAACAATGCCTACCTTCAAGTATTACCTTTCCAATGTGTATTGGCAACAATAAAAATATCTCCCCTGGGTAGTTTTTGTATTGGTTTATAAGCCTTGGGGAAGAGTAAATCTGGCAGTTATTTATGCAACACTTGATCCTTAAAGGACAGGAACCTATAACTGGTCCTGGGCTAGAGAGAATCTGCCACTGTCAGAAGAGGTACCTCCGCGTAAGCAAAATCCTGTTACATGTATTTGTAGAGCAGCATGTTTACCAGGCACTGAACAATGTGCTGCTCTGCATCTAAGCGTTCTTCCAAAACAAAGGTATATCCTTTTAAAAGAAATTATTAGATATTTTTACCATTTTTGATGAAAAACTTCTAAACTAAATTACAAATACCTTCATATGTTTGTATATAATTTATTGTGATGATTCAATTCAATCATTGGTAAAGTCATAAAAAAGTGAGGCTCTTGGAGGCCACTAAGATACGAATAAGCCCAGAAAGATCCTCCAAAAGAAAGCCTTCCATGGCACCTGCTCCTTGTGTGTGTGCACATGCGTGCGCGCGCACACACACACACACACACACACACACAGTCCCCACCTCCAGATTCAATGCTTCCCCAAACCCATCTACATCACAACCATTAATAGCACATCTCACTGCAATTATTGACCAAGCTACCTCCCCACTCCCCACTTGAGCTCCTCCAGGGTGGGCACCACAGCTTTCTTGCTTTATCCCCAGAACCTGGCTTGGTGCTTGTGCACACCGTAGTAGTTCAATCAATGTTTGAGAATGAATAAGTGTTTGTATTTATGAAAGAATAAAATGTTGCCCTACTTGAGCTAAAATGTATATGTGGAAATTTTAACACCATTTTTGCTTGTAAGAAAACCAGAGTCCAGAGAAAGAGTAGCCCATTAAAATGACAAGAGGCCAGAAAGGGGGCACCTGCCACCATGTTACACGTCAACATCTTCCTTGATTTCTGTGTCAAATTGACCATCACGGTCACGACAAATACTCAAGCTACAAAACTGAGGTCACTCTCAGAATCTTAGACCTTCGATACTTGGTAGGTAATGTTTTTCCTCCAAGTTTCAGCATTAATTGTATATACGTACTGGAAGTAAAATTTACCATCATTTTCTGCAGCAAGGCCTGTGCCAGCAGCAGCCACACATGGAACAATAGGAACAGGTATCTGTCTTAACTCACAGGAGGACACTGGTGGTGATTTACAATGGCCACCAGGAGACTGCCTTTATGCTTGCTGGTGTTAAGTGGAAGAGCCTTCTGAGAACCAACTTAAACCCAAGTGGTCAGTGAGCCAACTCTGAAACAAGTTCCATTTAGAAACCATGACAAAGTTACTTAACAAATGAAATATCAGTGCTTGTGAAAGCTCGGGATTAACCTGTTTTTAAGAAGAAAGTTTCATTTTCATGGCTCATGTAAATTAGGCAGCGTCTTTGGGCATTGTCTCATCTATGAATTAAATTACTGGATTCAGCCCAACAGTGAACCAGGTTAGCCTGACAACAATTTTACTAATTGTTGTCAGACTAACAACCAATGATTATTGTGCTCAATTCAATTAAATTTTTTTCTTAATCTACCTTAGGCCATCTCAAACAAATAACCAATTTGATAAAATGATTTCTATCACCCCAGTCAATTCAGTTCCCAACGTCAGTAAAGACAGCAGGCTGGCCTGTGTGGTAACAGTAACTCAGAATGCAAGGAAGGAAAAATGAGACAGTGTTTCCATTGAATAAACAGCAAGAAACATCCATTACCTTGGTCAAAGGGCTTGTTGGGATTCCAGTTTCTGAAATAATCATCCTACATAAGGAAAAAAAAATAGAAAACGAAAGTCAGATTTCAGGAAGCTTCTCACATAACTGTATAAAAAGCTGCCTTTCCCTCTACCTCCCAAAACACAGAGAACACTAAGAACTTAGGAAACCCCCAAAACAGACATTAACATGCAATCAAAAATATAAATTTACTTTTCAAATTATTGTCTTTCAAGCCGTATGGATTAAACACTAGGAAGAGTAAAAGCATTTCAGCCTCTTGGAAACAGCACTGCTCTCCTTGGTCTGACAAACCGAGACATCGTCTAAGTGCAAGCTGTATTTGCTATCAATTATTCTGCAGGTGATCCCTTGCTGCTCTCACCGATGATTACGCCTCTTTGTTTGTAACAGCTGATAATTCAACTGTCAACATTTCTCTTATATGGAGACATGGAACTTGTGGTGCACTTCCAGTCTTCCAGTACTCACAAAACCTGAGGACAGAGGGCCATTCAAATGCTAGAACTAACCACGGGCATTACATGTAGCTTAATACCATCTGTTCTGAGTGTGTAAAGATAAAAAACAAAGGCTGGCCAATCTGGCTGATCCATCACCATGTCTTCCTTGCATGCATCTGGCATCAATTTATGCCCTGAGACTAGACACTTCATTACCTTGAAATTGCAAGGGTCTGGGTCACTCATGTCTTCATAGTTACATTTAATCTTTTCCCTACTTCTAATAACCTTTTCCTTCCAAAACACAGCTGTCCACTCTCTCTACTCCACTTCTATCATGTGCCCATCCCCACTGCTCCCTCGCACATCTGTCAGCAAAACTAAACAGTATGCAAGGTACGTGACCCATGTGCATCACCCCCACACCACTTTTAGGGCATGTACTCCCTTTTACAGTTAATGTCCTCCTGACTATACCCAAATTATTTGCTGTATATGTTTTTGGCAGACACTCTGCATGCTGCAGTTTCAGAAAGCTGTCCAAAATGAAGCCTCAATTTCTCTTCCAGAGAAGTTAATTTGCATCAAAGCACACAATTAGTTTAAATTATTGTCCATGCTATCTCCTGCTACAGTTTATCGCTGACACCATCTCCTGTGAATTTTATCGGCCTTTGTGTCGTTCAATTACCTGGCTTTATTAGACCCTTGTTGAGTTCACCTAAGCCCTTAAATAGATTTTGAGAAACTGGATTTAGAGTAAAATCAGAACATATTGCTTCTTGGGCAGTGATTCCATTTTCCAGAGCATGAATAAACATGAACAGGTTCCTCGGGATCCTGGTGACTCGCCATTAAATTATTTTTAACTCCAAGGAATTGGCCCACTTTGCTCTGGCTTTAATTTTATGGCATAACTGGCCATCTCACCCATCTGGTTAGGAAGTCTCTGAGGTCTGCACCCTGAAATATAACTGAGGAAGCTTAAAACAATCCGTCTGCCACATCTCTCTCCATCTATGATTTTAAATACAATCCCAGTCTTTGGAACTGTGCGAGTTCAGAATCATCAGCCAGCGTTACATGATTCTAAGTTAAGGGCTGGATGGTAGTTGGAAATTTAGCACCCAATTAAAGCTTGACGGCCCTACACACAAGCATGGTGCCAGCACATTCTGCTGTTCACAAGGGCAAGAGAAGAGATAACCCACAGTGAACTCATCTTCACCACTAGAGAAAAAATAACAAAACGTCCGTCCTTCCAACTGTGGTTCATCAATGCCCTCTTCACCACATACAGAGGACAGCGTCATGTCCATCAGCAATGTGGAATCTTGTGAAATGCTTTCTACTTGAATGTGAAGTCCTTGGAAGCTTAGGATGTGTGTCCAACATGGCACATTCTCTTTGATGTCAAAGAAAGGTCTGAAAAGTCTCAAGAACTGAATATTCCCTAATGATTTCAATGTACTTTATAATTTGGATAGAATCTGAAGCATGCTTCTGGACCTTGTCACTTTCCCAGATTAACTATAATTGCCATTTTTACAAATTTCTTGGGAGAAAAAAATCATAGTTTTAAGTATAAAGCCTCTAAAAGTAGATATCTGCATTAGAATATTTGAAACCCATTGAAATGTAATAACACTGCCTAATTGCTGCCAAAATGTGAAAGTACACCTTGAGTGAAAGCTCATTATGCAAAATGAGTCCTTCAAACAGCCCCTTGCTCAGCAAGACCAAGCAGGGAAAGAAAATGATTCCGTGTATCTGATTGCTTTTACTCTGCCTTAGGAAAGTGGATTGCCAAAGCAAAAACCAATGAGCCAGGAACTGATAAAAATCTTGGGTGTAACTGCTTTGGCTACAGCTGAGAGAGAAACCCTGTATCACGGGCCAAGATCACGAACACATGGGAAGCACTGTAGGCACTGAAGCCCACTTGGGGGATGGTCAGTGAGCATGGTGGAGGGGTCTTCGGAGTAAGCATTCTGCAACAGGATCTGAGTATGAGAGGCCCAGACACAAGGACACCCCTTCCATACTGTACCAGCCAGGTGTGACTGGCCTGCACATATGGCAGTTCCAAGCAGGCTGGGGCTATATCCATCAATTCACTCTGCAACTGTGGGAATTTCTGGAGAGGCAGCATCCAAACCCATGTGGGAAAAGATGAAGATAAAAGAAGGCTTCTTCTAGAGTTTCACCTCCTGAGACTGTGCTCATCCCTGAGTCCCGCTTAACAAGTGGAATGCTCAAAGAACACAAGGACAGCTGTCTGTGGCCCTGAACCAACATTCTATCAATACACGGGCTAGTCATTTCTCCAAGGCCTAAGACCCAAGGGGTACGACTCCAGCTTTTCTCTGATCTTATTTTCTATCTAAAAAAAAAAAAAAAAAAAATAGTGTGTATTTTATATTACCCTAAAACAGAGCTACATCTTCCTTTGCTGTTGACAGTTCTATGAGTTTTCTAACAGGGACAATTCCCACCCTGGGAAGCAGTGTGCCTGCCTGCAGACCACCTCAGAGCTGCACTGCATCCAAGTGTGTTCCTGCTGCATGGACCCCGGGTCCCATCCAGATCCCGGGAAAGTGCAAGACTTTAAGAACCTTCACCTCTAATCTTCCTTCCTCCCTAATGAAGTCATGGCCTGTTAAAAGTCAGACTGTGCTGCAAAGCATGTAGATGGGTTAGATCAAACTCGCCAGAATACGCATATCTGTCTGAGTTGGCCTCTTAACTGGTAATTTCATCATCCTGTGATGTAACTTTTAATAATGACTTGCAAGGACCTCAGCAACAGTTAATTTTTAAAACATAAATCCAAATAGATGTAGATACAGTTATTTATTAAATTCAATAACTCCTATTAGTACATAATATAGGCTGAGGAATAAAAGATGGAAGTGTTACAACACGTGTATTTTATAGGCTTTGCTGCACAGTGTGGTTCTGCGGGCCTCCATTGGACTGACCAGAGAAACGTCCTCTTCTAAATTCCACCCATATGAGGAAAGGCTGATTCCACTTCGCTATGCCACTTCATAAATGAAAATTATCCACCCTTTAGGGACTGTGAAAATCTGGAAGAACTTATAAATTTAAAGAGTCTCACACTTGAGCATATTGACTTATGTCTGAAATCATAAAGTCATAGTAGGAAGGTATAAAAAGTCAGCATACAGATCACAGTAAGAAAGTGACAAATCATTACATGTCTAGGATGAGGATGGAGGAGGTGGTGCTGGTGGTACAGGAAGAATCAGAGACTAGGAAAGATTATGGCCTCAAGTTTTTTTAATCCTCCACAGCTGATCAACATAGATAAAACCATATTTCTCCATTTATCTTACTAAATATTTTACTAACATAGTACTGGACCCTGTGAAATTACTGGCACCCAGTGGCTGGTGCAAAGGAATTTAAGTCTAGGTTTTCAACTGCTTTAGAGACAGTGATTTTAATAAGCATTCATGGACATCTATTTAAACTATTTAGCACATATTGTATATTATACATAATAGACATTAATAAGGATATAATATTTATCAATATATAACTTAATAAAATATATATGTACATATATATTCACATGTGCCAAAGAACATTCTGCTCTATACAGCATCTTGCAATAAAAGCTTTAAGCCTCAATAACAGAAATGATACAAAAATTTTCCTGCTATAATTTGAGTGATTAAGCCTCTTCATCCTGGATTGCTCATAACCAGTTGGAAAGTCTATGGTTCCAGCCCACTTGAATGAGAGGCTGAATTTTTCTTCCACTTTCCTATAGCCCTAAAATGGCTGATGCAACTTAGTTCAAATATTCCCCAGGAGTTTGCCTCTCGCGAGGTGCTTGTCTCAGCTCCCAAAATTATCAAGGCAGACTTAGAGGAAGAGATGGCGTGGCAGAACCGCATGAGAACCATTTTTGAAGTCCAACTGCTTTACCCCTGCTTCTAAAGATGATGTACTATGTTATCTACCTTATAGCTTCAGATACTACAAATCAGAGACATTCAGCTCACATGAAATAGATCATTTCTCCTTCATAAATATTTTAGCTAAGTTATTTGAACCCTGCAGTTTCTTCTGAAGATTACCTGAGATAATTCAAACTACCAGCCTAGAAAATAAATGGGAGCGTCATTTGTCTCAACCAGAAGTGAGTAATGAGTACACAGTAAGTCTGGGCTCAATTGTATAAAATACAAGTGAGCTGTTCTAGCTTTAATATCTCCGTATCTCTGTGAAATCCCCATTAACTGTTACTGGTGTGTGTGTAAAACAGGTGAGTATATGTTTATACACAAACTCTAAAGCACTTTCTTCCTGAATAGCACGATTCTTTGATAAATTGGTCTGACATTTGGTATAAAGTCTGCAGGCCTCAGACAAACTAATTCAGAAAATAACAATGTCAGTTGTTCTGCTCTTTCAATAAATAACCCGCCAGTAAAACACAGATAATAACTGACAATCATACTTGTACTGTAACTAATGAGAAAAGATAAAGCAGCAAATGGACTGTTCATATGTATTTGATAAATTGCATCCTCTGGATATACCAAGGAAA